TTGGATTTTCTACTTGGATTATTGAGCATGAACTTTGATGTTTTGAATCACTTTGACTATGGCTGCCTCAGAGGAGTCAACGGGGGGAGATGGCGGGCCCCAGAAACCATCATATCACCAGTAAACTGTTTTTTTCCACTATGGGAGTTGGTGCTTGTGGGACTCCAGTGTTCTGATACGGTAATATTCACACATTCATGGCTCATTTTGTACTCGTCCTCGCCCTCAGGTACATCATGCGTCAGCACGGTCAGATGGAACCTGCTGAAAACAGCATTCGGACCAGACTCCAGCCTCCCATGATGCACCTGGCTGTGGTGGCCTGTGGAGAGAGGCTGCAGGAGACTCTCACCATGATCAAGTCCGCCTTGCTCTTCAGCATGGGGCACCTCCACCTGCACATCTTTGCTGAAGATCAGCTGCACGCCAACTTCGTGGAAGCTGTGAGAGATCAAGTGGTTCAAATACACTCTTCTGAAGAAGTTAGGACATGGTGGAAAATGTCCAGAAATAAGGAACACAAGCAGATCTTAGAAACTAACGGAACTACGTTGAAACTAAGAAATTGTACCATTTATTAAAAACAGGTTTTACATTTGGTGGCAGCATCACATCGCAAAGAAGTCTGAATAGTTGACCACTCTGAAGCATCTCCAGTTTTAAAAACTGTCACCAATCCTGGGTTGCCATGGCTGGATTTATTGCTTCTTGATGCACAAAATGTGTTCAGTTGTTGAGAGTTCTTGACTCTGCTGGCAACCTCAACACCTGGACTCATGTACTGTGATTTGTAAGCTGCCCAAGCTAGTCACAAATGCACACCCATAGCGTCAGAGAGGCTGGCTTTCAAACTGAGTGATGGTAACAGGCCGGACGGTCCCTCTCCTTTTGAGTATAGAGACCACAACAGGTTTCCTTTGTCACCTCAGTCTGTTTAAAGGAGCTTCGGCCCAGAGAAGATGTTTCTGGATGACTGCTTCTTTGACCGATAGAGCTTGAACTTGACATGTCGCAGTGAGCTGCGTTCACAGACTGTGATCTGTGGACGTGTTCTGAGCTCCTGCACTGATATAACACAATCAGACCTGGCAAGCGTCAAATATAGACTTTAGCCTTGTTCTTTATACACACATTTATACAGATTCTTGAAACTTGTTGATGATTTTATGATCTATTAATGATTAGAGATTTAAAAGTTTTCACAATTTTTGTTTAGGAACAGTATTTTCAAATGGCTTCAATTATTTTAGACGCAGTTTGTTGCAGACAGTGAGCCTCTGCCCATCTTTACCATAATTTTTGTTGTATAAGTCACTTTTTTCCCTAATTAGCATTAGCACTTATACAGCGAAGCAACAACCAACTTTTGGCTGCGATCTGACGATTTCATTCATTCTGACACGGAAAATATTGAACACTACCATTTCCAGCCACTAGAGGGCCTTCGACTAATATGGCAAGCCAAGTGTCTTATTAATAGGTAAAAGTGTCTATTAATGAGACACTTGGCTTGCCATAGTTAGGGCCACCTTCGTCTTGTTCCAGAACTCCTGGATCAAACGTCAAATCAACTTCATTTTGACGTGCCGCCCAGGTGAAATGCAGCTGATTTGACCGTCAAAGTGCATTTATTACGTACAACTTTAACTGAGACACACCTTTACTATAATTTTGAGCAAACAGATAATTGTTTTTAAGTGTTAATCTTGTTAAAGTCCTCGCGTTCATGCTCCTGCAGCCACCATTTAGCAGTCAATCTATTTCTGGCACATGGGCCTACATTTCCGGGTTGTCAGCGGTGACGCATAATAGATGCAACTTATTTATGTTTTTTCCCACTTTGTTAGACATATTTGGACTAATGTAACATGTACGGCATTAAGGACGGTACTTCTGAGAGATTCAGTCTCTAAAATGCTCTTTTAGTCCTCTTGCTGGCCAGTCAACCTAATTTGTTGCAAATTGCTCCGTCACATTTTTTATGAGATGTGCTGCTGCTTCTTTTTTTTTTTTTTCAAAGCTTGTACAATTTTCAAGTTTGATAAGTTCAATATTTTTCAGTATAAATAAGTGTTGATGAGATTTGCAAATGATTGCTTTTTGTTTCTATTGACGTTTTACACAATTTCACAACCTTTTCAGAATCGGGGTTGCAGCTCATGCAGTGCTTGTTCCACGTTTACAGCTGAACCAACAACCCTTCCTCTGACAGATGAGTGCGTTCTTGTGTGTCTTCCAGCTGGAGTCGTGGCCTGGTTCTGTTCGCTGTAAGTACAACTACACCATCTACTCCATCAGTTTCCCCAGCGACAATGCAGCCGAGTGGAAGAAACTGTTCAAACCTTGTGCCTCCCAGAGACTCTTCTTGCCTGTAAGTTATGTTTATGTCCTCAAAATCTGCTCTTATTCTGACTTTCAGGGAAATGATGACACCTGCAGCATTTAATGATTATTTACATTCCAAGTAATATCTGCTTCTCCTTTCTGCAGCTGCTCCTGAAGGACGTTGACTCAGTCATCTACGTGGACTCCGATATTCTCTTCCTGCAGCCCGTTGACCATTTATGGACATTCCTGTCCCAGTTTGAACCTTCTCAGCTGGCTGCTGTGTCCCCAGAGCACGAGGAGCCTCGCATCGCCTGGTACAGCCGCTTCGCCCGGCACCCGTTTTACGGCAAGACGGGCATCAACTCTGGTGTCATGCTCATGAACATGACGAGGATGAGGAGCACTTTCTTCAAGGTGAGAATCTGCGTTTTAATGCTGCAATGCCTGTTTTTAGCCACAAGATGTCGCCCTCCTGCTGTGATTGAACGACTGAACTAAGTAGTTGTGAGAATGTTTACGAAGCGTTCACACTGTTCAGATCCATTTTTCTTCTGTATATTTTTCGGCATCTTTTTTTGTGCAACAAATCATTTATCAAAATGTTCAGCTCTTTCAGGACAATCCTGCTACGACTTTTGGTATTGGTGCAACTTTAGCTGTTTGAAATGTTTAGCCTTTTCTGCCTTCTTTTCTCGTAGAAAATGAATCGAGCTCATTTTACATCCTTCAAATCTTTAGATGTGTTTACAACCTTTTACTGCTTTCAGCTTCCTTGTGCAAATTTAAACTTGTTTCAGCTCATTTCAGCTTATTTATGTTAGTTTCAGCTTTTTCTGCTATTTCAGTTATTTAGCTGTTTTATGCTAATTTTTGTTTTTTTTGGCTAATTTAACTTTTTTCAGCCTAATTCAGCAAAAATGTGCTCTCTACACTTCCTTCTGGTAATTTAAGCTTTCTGCTTTTTAGCTACTTTCGGCTGTTTTTTTGCTCATTTCAGCATTTTTCAGTCTATTTGGGCAAACATGTTCTTTTTGCTTTCTTTTGCTTGTTCTACATTTTCAGCTAACTTTTTAACATTTTTGAGCTAATTTCAGCAGTTTTCAAATAAATTCAAGTTCTTCATGTTAATTTCTGCTACTTTCAGCCTAATTCTTTATGCTAATTTCGGCTTGTTATGGGCTAGTTTCAGCTTTTTCTGTTCTTTCATTTAGCTTTTTGATGCTAATTTTAGCCTTTTCAGCTTATTCCACATTTTTTGAACTCATTTCATTTTTTTACTCTTCCTTCTTTTAGTTTAAGCTCCTTTCTGCTTTTTCAGCTGTGGCACTTCTTAGCCTTGCTAAATTCAGCTTCTCTTTTTTTTAGCTAATCTCCTAAAATTTGTGCTCATTTCTGCTTTATTTAAACCTAATTCAGCAAATGTGTGCTCTTTCTCCTACTTATTTAGGCTTGTTCCATTTCAGAATGTTTTTAGCTAATTTCAGCTGTTTTTCTGCAATCAGCTGCGTTTCTGCAGGAAATGCCATTTCTCTAGTTTGTGTTTTTCTTCTCTGCAGAATGACATGACGTCAGTGGGACTGCTCTGGGAGGAGCTGCTGATGCCGCTGCTCCAGAAATACAAACTGAACATAACCTGGGGAGACCAGGACCTTCTCAATATCATTTTCCACTATAACCCCGGTAAAGATGCTCTCCCTGAACTTTGCCTGTTGCACGTCAGCCTAATAAATCCAGAGTTGGTTGAAGTTATTAACATTTTCTAAACTTTTACTTTCAGACTTCTTGCTGGAGTTTCCCTGTAAGTGGAATTACCGCCCAGATCATTGCATCTACGGCAGCAACTGCGCCTCAGCTGAGGAGGACGGTGTTTACATCTTGCACGGAAACAGAGGAGTTTACCACGACTATAAGCAGCCAGCTTTTAGGGCGGTTTACGAGGCCATCAGAAAGGTTGGTGTTGGAGGAGGATGTTCATGCACCGAAACATAACCATTACTGCAAGATTGACGTTTATTTTGAAGAGCCTGTCTGTTAGAATGAAGTAATTTAAATGAAGTGTATTCAAAACTTTAGATAACGGAGTTAAGACAACTCAGTGTTGTCGCTGGAAACAGTTTCATTATTACAAACCATTGCGGTTTCATTTTCTAACAGCTTGTGGAAAATGAGCAGTTCCCCCCTCGTTAAAAGTCTCTTGTGCACATCATAGTGTAAAGAGAGGATTTCACAAGTCTTCCCAAAGTCTGCTGGGTGTAATCTAGCTGAACATCTGATGAAAACTTCTGGTTTGTAACCCCAGTGACCCAGCTGCTCTCTGCTTGACCCTCCTGGATGAGGTTTTGGATTGCTGCTGACCCCCGAACACCAGAAGTGCTTTACGTGTCAGCTTGTCTTCACAGGAGGACACAAATCTCTACCTTTTGGCAGATGGTTGGAGTGAAAGCTCATTTCCCCCCCATGGGGATGTTTACGGGTTGCTTACCCGCAGTTTAATGATCTTGACGACACAAATGGAATTTACTTAATGAAGCCATCAACACTGAGTCTCATTGCTTTCCTGTTGATCATAGATCAGGTTGATCTGTTCCTCATCCATGGCCTGCAGGTAAAACAACGGATTATAAGACTGAATCAATGACATCACTAGAACATAACCTGCGGTGATGTACGCATGAACCCC